TAAGAGAAGCTGGTTTCAAAGGCTGGACAGGAGATACACTTGGGAGATGGGATTGAATGTGGGATTAAATAAGCCCTTGTAATAAAAATCATAAAATGGTTACATCATTCTCTTCACCTTAATTTTTCCTTAGTTATCCACACATTGCAAATCAACTCATTTCATTCTTCAGTATTTTACAATTGAGAACACAGTAATGTCCAACATTAGGGAAGAGATTTTATGTCTCCACTGAATAGGTTTATACAGTAAAATGTAAAAATTATATCACAGCAAAATACTTTGGAAAATGTAAAATAGAAAAATATTTAACAAGAAAATGTATATTCAAAGGAAAAAAGTTTAATCAAGATTCAAGATTCACATTATACTAAGTGGTAAAATATCCTTCTCTTGATAAGAGTTCAACTTTGGCATTTTTTTCTATTTAACTTACCCTGCCATCTTTTTTTACTTTCCCCCCACCTTTTTGTCTGTCGTTATACATTGAGAGTCCCTCTCATCCCAGTTGTTTAAAAAGTTTACTCATATATAACCTAGGATGATTATCATTAACCATTTTAATACACCCTTTAACGTTATGAATATCTAGGTAATATCTATAACCTTCCTTTCCCCTCATCTCCAAGTATACTGTTAGCTGTCCATCTTCCTGGGTAGAAATGTGGCATTTTATTTTCCAATTTTCCGTGTTGATTTTTGGTGTGGAAAGAAAATATATATTGTGTATATATGTTTACACTCACCCTGGATTGCTAAAAGATATCCTCCAGTAATTCTTTCAAAGAGGGTGTACAAGAAATAAACTTCCTGAATTCTTCAATATCAAAAAATGTCTTTGTTTTACCTTTAAAATCAAATGCCAATTTGGCTGGATATAGAATTCTTGGTTGAAAGTCTTTTGCCTGCAGAACTTTTATGATATTGCCCCACTGACTTCTAGCATCCAGAGTATCCAATGATAAGTCTGCCGTCAATCTGATTCTTATTCCTCTGTAGGTTGTATCTTTCTTCTCTTTGGAAGCATTTAGAATTTTTTCTTTATCATTGTAGTTCCGAAATTTCACTAAGATGTGTCTAGGAGTGAGTCTCTTTTCATCAATTTTACTGGGTACTCGGTAGGCACTGACAATCTCAAGACTGGAATCTTCCTTTAGCTCTGGAAAGTTTTCTTCAATTATTTCCTTAATTATTTCCTCTGCTCCATTCTCTTTGTTATCTTTTTCTGGAATTCCTATTAAACGGATGTTTGAGCTTCTGGATCTATCCTCTATGTCTCTTACTCTTTCTTTAATTATTATCTGTTTGGCCATTTGCATTGTATCCTTAGAGAATTTTTCAATTCGATCTTCTAGATTGCTCATTCTCTCTTCAAGTGTGTCTATTCTGCTACTCAGAATGGCTATTGATTTTTTTATTTCTAAGACTTCTGGATGGTAATTTTTAACATTTCCAATATCCTCTTGTATCTCTCTGAATAAATTAATTACACTTCTTCTAAAGTTTTCTTCTGTTTCTTGTATTAAGTCTGTTTCTTTAGATGTTAGCTCTTCTGTTTGCAGAGTTTTGTGTCTCTGTTTCTCAGTTTTCCTTAGAAGTTTGGTGATTCCTGATGAAGTACTCAAATTTGTACATGAATGCTTTTCCTGTGTATCAGAACTTATCTTTAGATATTTTGAGGGAGAGTCCCCATGTAAAGTTGGACAGACTGTCCCGATTCCTTGATTTCTGGGTGTTGCTGTTTTCTCTTTGCTCTGGATTTTTTGTGCCATCTGATGTTTCACTACTTTTTTCTTCTCAAAGTCTGGAGCCAAATAACAAGCAATTTCTTTANGTTAGTGACACACACATTTCATCCCTCTTTATGACATAAACTAAAAAATCCAGCACCAGAAGTTGTACCTGAAGCTAATCAAGGTGACTATGAGGAAGCAGCCAGAAAAGTCCACAGGGTATGTCATTCTACAGGGTTTCAATACTTTAATGAGAGAATGAGGAGCCTGTTCTAGTTTAGGAGACTTAAGAACTGTGTGCCCTTTATTTGGATCTCGGTTTGAATAAATCAATTGTAGAAGAGCAGGAAATGTTGAATATGGACTGAGTATTAAATTATATTAAGGAATATGAATTTTATTAGCTGTGATAATATTGTAGTTATTTAAGAAAACATCCTTATTTTTTAAGATATAGAGTATTAAGTTTTTAAGGGTGCAATATGATGCCTGGGATTTACTTTAAAATATTTCAGCAATGGAATAAATGAGACATATGGAGGAAATGCTTGTTTTGAATCCCAGTGATGGATTTGAGGATTCTTTTCTATGCTTCAATGTGCTTGTTTTTTTTAAAAAATTGAAAGTAAAGAAAAATCGCTGAGCTTTCCCAATTAACACAGAAAGACTGCTCTATATGTCCTACAAAAGATACTGATAAAGCAAAATGCCAAAGAAAACTGAAAGTAGGGGCAAAATTGTACAGATAAATGCAGACAAAATTAAAGCACAAAGATAATACTAACCAGATAAACCATAATTCAGGTAAAAAGTGAACTAAAGGAAAGAAAAAAATTTGTTATGCTAATCCACAAACATAAATATCTTTGTGTACAAAACAATGTAGCTAAATCAAAACCAAGGAAAGACAGAAGGCTGAGGTAAAAGTAGAAATCTAAAAAAAAAGTGTAAAGAATAAAATCAAAAGCCAAGTGAAAATTTTTCTTAAAGAGAAAAAAATTACAATGTGTAAAGCTAAGTATGAAAAAGTTCCCAGTACGACTTTTAAAAGTGGTTTGCAAATGTATAGTAATAAAAACAAAAACTGGATGAAGTAAATGATATGCTAGCAACACTTTAAAATAATCAAAAGATTGATCCATGAAGTAAAAACAAACACAAAACCATCATCAGATAAGTATTATAAAGAAAAATCAATAAAATGTTCAATATTTTAAAAGACTCCATGTCTAGAAGTTTTCATTTAAATGTATAGAAAAATTTTATTTAAATAGTTCTGATAAAACAGGAAGCTCACAGAAAATATACAACTCTACAATAATTACCACAAAAATCTTTAGTCTCTTATAGTAAGCGTTTATATAAATTGATAAACTAAAATAAAAAACAGAGGGAATGCAAACCAATATTAAACATCTGTGAAGTGGCCCAACCCCAGGAGCTGGGGATAAATCGGAAAAAAATGGGTCCACTTTTACCTATCTGGAGCGGGAATAGTTATAACTTTTCAAGAAATTGGAAAAACCTATTAAAATCAGAATACATACACTCTCCCCTTGAGAATCTACACCAGGAATAAAACCACCAGTACCGAAGAGTACATGAACAA